GAGAGGGTGGCAAAGGAATGACCAAAAATGTAGAGACATGAGGCAAGGAAACATTTTTCTTCTGTTTATTTCTTTCCTTATTTGAGAGAAGAGAAATTTTACAAGCACAGACATTTATTTTATTAGAAAAAGGGTTGTTAAAAAATGTTTTGTTTTTTACTTTTGATCCCAATGAAAGAGGATTGTTATGGGATAGGAATTTTGGTCAGTGCCTGTCCCCTCCAAACCTTGTAGAGAAGCCAAATCCAGAGCCAGGCTCTGTCCAGAAAAACATTTTTCCTCTCTTTTATTCTTTCATGGAGAAACTGAGGCAGCAGGCAGAATTTCCCCAGTCTTAGGGTGCCCTCAGGGCTGGTTTCCAGAGAGGCTTTGGTGTGAATTTTGGGCTGTAAATCCCAATCCCAGAGCTGCTGCAATGGAGCTGTTTCTCAGGGAGCTCTGGGAGCTGCAGGTGCAGAGGGGCCACAAGAGGAGCTAAAAGTGAGATCATTGCCCCTGCCAGGCTCCTGAGCCTCTGCTGCTCCCTCAGACCTTCCCTTCCTTCCCCACACCTGCCCTGTGCCCACAGCCCCTGGAGCCTGTGGAGTGGGAAAGGGAGAAACTCCATGAGAAAACTCCTCATTAATCTGAGACCACCCTTTGCTGCCAGAACCAGGAGCTGAACTGGGCTGAGGAGTCAGCAGGAGGTGAATCCTTCCTATTGCTCCTTGCCCAGCCAGGAATTGCCAGGAATTATCTGGAATTACACCAGAGCTGGGAGGAATCCGAGTGGGATGGGAACAGGAAGGGGGAAATCCGGACCCTTAAAATATTCACACTGCAAATGAATACTAGATTTAAGCCTGTGATTCTGCAAATGTGGATCTGGCATTAATATTTGGAAAACTGCATTAAAATCTGCCACTGGTGCTTTATTCCTCAGGACCCTGTGAAATCCGTGCCACATCCATGCAGGGCAAGCAGCTGGAGGATCTGCCTGGGCTGGGAGAAGATTTCAGCTCCTGCTTCCTGAGCTGGGAGCCCAAAATGAGCTCCTTCCCATGCTGTGTGACTGCAGCCTTTCAATCCCATGCAGGGTTTTGGACCCATCTGACCCCAAGCAAAAATAATTCCACAGGAGTGGGGTGAGAATGGATTCCTGTGGGCTCCAGGAAGGGAACTGGGGGTAGGGGATGGGATTTTTCCAAACCTAATGGTGGGTTTGGTAGGGCTGTGGGAGCAACAGGTCCTGCACAAATTCCTGTTCCCCATTCCCAGCTCCATCCAGGCAATTGTTGGATATGGGGGAAGGGGATGTGGCCCTTGGTGGCTCTTGGAGCTCTGATGCTCAGCCCCAAATGAGAAGCTGTGCTGGGAGCCCCCAGTGCCTGCCTGGGTGGGATTTTAGTCCTCCAAACTGCCCCACGTGCTTACCCCAGGCTCAAATTCCACATCAGGCTCTGATCTCCTGCCCTCCTGCATCCCTTTTCCAGACAGCCCAAGCCTGGAGCAGCTTGGAGTGGGGAGCACAGACATGGAGAGAAATGCTCTGGCATGGGCAGCTCATTCTGCCCCTTGTTCCTTGACACCGCAACTGCTCCCAGGCCCAATGGACTGCGCTTCCACTGCCAGTTTCCTGGGAAAACGACTCCCAGTTATGCCAAACGTTTAACTTTCAGAACAAGCAGAACTGCACCCATGCCCATCCTGCACATCATGTTCTGGTTGAGCCTCTAACCTCTGCTGCCATTTGGCACAGGAGCCCAAAGGGGAGTTTTGAGGGCTGCAGGTTGCAAACTGTGCCAGGGATGCAGCAGGATGGAATTTTGGAATTACAGTGCTGGCAGGGAGACCTCCAGCTGGGGTTTTTTATTTTCATTTATCCTTGTTTTGCAGCCAGGATGTGCCAAAAGCTGCGTTTATGGACTGGGCCAAGCCAGAGCCAGGAGGTGCCTGTTGCTCCCACCTGCCCTGGTGCTTCCAGCCCTGGAGTCAGATCCTTTTTCAGCTCCATGATTCCTTCCTGTCAGAGCACTCCTGCATAATTAAGAGGCGAAGCTGGCAGGCTGCATGCAGCTAATACAGATATGATTAATTTTCATCCCTCTGTTTGATTTGGAAGGTTGTCCTTCCCGAGGCAGAAGGCTCCATCCCAGATGGATGGAAAGCTGCCAGCCGGACGCGTCTTGGAGGGACAGTGGGACAAGACACGGGAAAGTTTAGTGCTTTGGAAAATGACCTTTCTTGGTAACTAATTTGTCACTTCCCAGCACCATCTGCTGACTCGTCAGCTGCATCCATCATAACCATGCGAGGGAAAGGACTGGAAAAGTCAATTAAAATGGGAATCGAATGGGGTTTGAGCAAACTGTTTAGGGAAGGGAGGGGAAAGCCCCACAGTGTGTGGGTGACATCCTTTCCATCACCCCCAGCCACATTGCCAGGGAAGTTTCCAGGGAGCAAAGCCGTGCTGGAGTCTCTGGAAGCTTTCCACTGCCCAGGGGGTGATAAGCTGGAGCGAATGCCCAGGGGTCCGGGAAGCACCTGAGTGCTGGACACAAGGTTTTCCAGGAGGGCTCTGTCCCAAATCGAGCGTTATTGACGGCCGTGACAGCAGCAGGTCCCTGGTGACACCTGGTGTGCTGTGTCCTATTGACTGGCTGTGATGGGGCCAGGTGACAAATATGCATTCCCAGGAGACAAATGGCATTCCCAGGAGACAAATGGCATTCCCGGGCTGGGCAATCACTGTTCCCGATATCCCTCCCCAGCCAGGCAGGAATGCTGCTGCTCTCCGCTCTCCCAAACCATGGATCCCGTTGGATGCAGGAAGTTTTCATGGCTTCCCAACTCGTTTTTCCCTCCTGCCCCTGGCCTGGCTGCTCCCAGACTCGCTCAGGAGCAGCATCAGGATGTGCCTGGCCTGGTCCCAAACCCTCTGGCATCAGCTCCTGGCTGATGGTCCTGGGAGAGCATGGATTGCACATTTCCCCCACTCTCTCAGCACCTCGTTTGTCTGGAGAGGGATGGCAGTGCAGGGGTTGTGTTCCCAAGAGGGATCAGTGTGCCAGGCTCGGTGAGGATGGGAGAAGGGGCCACTTGAAGACTCAAAGTGGCAGTTTTGATATTATTGTGATTTGCAATTACAGTGGAAATATAATTGACACAGGTGTCATTTAGTGCTGGGACATTCACATCCTAATAAACTTGTCCTGCAGGCTCAGGATGTAAATACACAAGCCAGGAGAGAGGAATTTCTCTTAGAGATGGGGAAACTGAGGCAGCAGCAGACCTGCCTCAGCTGCGGGACCACCAGGAACAGCTGAAGAACCTGGGGTGGAGCAGAGGGGATCTGCCTGGAAACAAGAAACTCGGAAAACTCCAGCGCAGATAACAACATTCCCTGCCTGGGAAAGCCGTTTCCATGCAAGCCAGGCAGCTGGACAGGGTCACAGGTGAGTGACTGCAGTGCTTGGATGGGTTTATAAAGGGAGGGGAACCTGCAGGAGCATCCAGGTGTGACAGGAGGAGAAGAGCTCCGACCTCCAGTGTCTCGTGGCTGCTCTCCCAGGTAGGTCTTGGCATCCCTTGGCCACAGTAGAGCCAGCTCAGAGGAGGAGGAGGGAACAAAATCAATGCAGAAGAAAGGGGGAAGGTGCTTTTCCCTCATCCCAACTTGGGAGGACCGATCCCAGCAGCTCCTGCCTCTGGTGGGCACCCGGCAGACACCAGGCACTGCCGCAGAGCTGTGGGGAGCCCTGGTCTCTCTGTGCTCGGGAGCTGCTCTGAGCAGGCACAAAACCGCTCTCAGACAGGTCCTAGTGCCAGGAATGCTTGGATTTTTTGGGAGACAGCTCGGTAGGTGAATGTCCTGCCCTGTCACAGTGCCAGCTGCCCACCCCTCCTGCCCCCACACTGGCACTTGACTGGGTTCTGGGGGGTGAGCAGAGCTGGCACCGCTGTCCCAGCCCCGTGTGCCCACAGTGCTGATGCTGAACTTGGGATCCTCCTGCTTTTTTCTTCTCCCTTTGGAGCTGGGAAGCAAATCCACCAAGTGCTGTGTGCCTGGAGAGGTGCTGAGCTGGAGATCTCGGGGCTGGAATACAGGTCCTGCCTGCCAAGCTGGGGAGGGCCATTCCACAAGTGTATTTCTGAGTGGAGAAGTCTGTGTGGGTGTTTCTGGGAGAAGTGGGAGTGAATCAATTCCCGAAGGGATTAGCTAAGAAGAGCTGAAGGAGGTGACTGGGTTTATTTTCTTTGTATTCAGCAGTATTTTATTTATTTATATATTTACTGCAGTGATAGAACAAATGAAAAAGCACCAAAGATTGATGCTGCTGAGGTTGCATTGCAAGGGGAGAGCCTGAGAATTCCTGCCTGGATCCCTGCAGGAAACAGGGCTGGGACACCCTGGGAAGTCCCAGGGCAGGAGGTGGCTCTGGTGGCCGAGTCTGAGTGGACAGGGGGAGGTGGCACTGGTACAGTGCCCAGGGAAGGGATAGGAGAGGATGTGACTGACAGGTGCTGTGGAAAGGGAATATTTATTAACTTCTACTGGCCCCTGGTTCAATACCAGCTGATATTTATGGGAAATCTAATTCAGGAGTCAAATCTGACCTAACAATGTCTTCTCAATAATGTCCAAACCAAGAGGTTGCTGAAACTAATTAAGGATCAGGCTCCAATCAGGTGGAGAAGTTAAGCTGTAGGACCAGACTTCATTAAGTCTGTCCAGAGAGAATATTTTAATATTTAAAGAGAACATTCAATGTTTACATAAGTCCTTTCCTGATGTGAAGTCATAGTTAGATCACTTCAGAGGTAGTTTTTAAAGCCCTTTATCCAGGCTCAGACAGAGCCGGGCTGGAAAATGCCTTTCTCATCTCTCTTGGACTCAATAAGGCTTCTTAAAAGATCCAGTCCATCCAGGAAGGTTTCCAGTGGTGAGGAAAATCAAAACAAAAAATTAACAAAATGGCTGTGTGAAGGTTTTTCTCTTTGCAGCATCTCTGTCTCCTGTGCTGGTGCTGGGATTGATGAATTTGCTCTGGATGTGTGCAGGTCCAAAACCAACTCAGCTGCAGGGCTGAGCCTCGAGAACTCAGGGAGGCTGGAGCAATCCTGAAGGGCTGGGCTTGAAATCTCTGGAGATGTTGCTCAAGAACAAATCTGTTTACACAAACAGCTTTGAGAAGAGAATTGTCAGTCAAGGCACTTCTATTCTCAGCTCAGGAGCAACTGGAAGAGTAAATATCCCTCTAGTGGGCTGGGGCTGAGCTGGATCACAGCTGGTGCAGAGCCAAAGGCATTTCTTGTCAAACACCTCTCTCCACTCTTGTCCCTGCTGTCTCCTTTCCCGTGTTGTCCAGGCTCTCAGGATGGTTTCGAGGAAGGTGGTGGCCAGTTTGCTGCTGGTGTCCCTGCTGTCTGTGCTGGCTGAGCAGACCCAAGGCTTCATGCCCTTTTTCACCCAGAGCGACTTCCAGAAAATGCAGGTAACCAACCCCTCTGGAATGAGTAAACCAGGAAAAATTTCTCCCATCCTCATCCCCCAAACTGCCAGTGCACACCAACAACAGGAGACACTGATTTCCTTCTCCCACAATCCACGGCTTTGGGGGGAATCCAAGGGGTTTTGAAGAGAGGGTATTTTAGAGAGCCTGGACCCCTCTACCAAAGGTCTGCCACACCTGTGGAGCTGTCACCTGCTGTCCCTGGGGGTCCTTTCCCTTTCGTCGGTGCTGGAATTCTTCCAGAGCAGCTGCAGCCTCCCATCAGCTCAGTGATGGCTCTTTTGTTGTAACAAATAATTAACCATCCCCCGGCTGGTTGTCACCTCTGGGACGTGCCGAGAGAACGTTTTTCCTTTTGAAGTGCAACAAATAGCGTTGAAAGGTGTCAGGCAGGCTCAGAGAAGGCAGCTTCTGAAACACAGCCCCAGTGAGCTTCCCCCGCATTGCCGAGCCCCTGCACACCGGGAGAAATCCCAACACCTATCCCTGGATAACAATTGCTTTTTGTGGGGACCACAGGCATCCTTTAATGTCCTTGAGGAGGATGGGGGACCCACATGGGCTGTGGTTGTACCCCACAGCTCTCGTAGCTCTGTGTCTGTGAGGGACTGGGGGTTTTCTGCATGAACAAAGGGGAGCTCTGTCCCCCAAAGGCTGTCCCTGCTCCTCCTGTGCTCACACGCTGGACACTGAGCACGGCCTGTGCCACGTTTGATGAGTCCTGCTGCATCTGTCACACTCCAAAGCACCTCTGACTTTTTCCAGAGAGTCCTAAAGGCAACTTTAGCCCCATAAATGGGAATGGGCTGACATTACAGACCTGCAGAAAGGCTGGGAAAACGTGACCTCTGCACATGCAGGGCTCAGTCCAATTTCTTTGCAGTGCAGTGCTCCAGAACAGACCCAGGCCAAGTTCTGTGGGACAGCTGGGTAAGGTCCCAGTGCTGTCAGCCCCATGAGAAGGTCCCAGTGCTGTCAGGCCCCATGGGAAGGTCCCAGTGCTGTCAGGCCCCATGGGAAGGTCCCAGTGCTGCTAACACACGTGTGAGTCCTGTTTACTGCAGACCTTCACACACCACCCCGAAACCCGACCTTGTCCCCAGCACTGCTGAATTCCAGTCCCCAAAGGCCACTCAGGCCACAGCTGATGGGCCCTTCCCAGGAGAATTCCACCATCCTGGTTCTGTGCCCAGCACTGTGGATTGTTGGGACAGCACAGAGTGGGTTTGCTGCTGACCCCAGCATCACCAGCTGCCCCCTCTGCTCTCTGCCCCGAAGCTGCAGGAAAAGGAGAGGAACAAGGCAGGGCAGAAGAAGTCCCTGAGCTCACTGCAGCAGCTGGAGGAGGAAGGTTTCTCTGAGCAATCTGGCGTGGATGTCAACACAGCCAAGACCCTCCAGGTATGTGGAGCCATTTGACTCTGAGAAGCCCATGGGACATGCAAGGGACAAGGAGTCCAAGAGATGTCCTCTGCCAGCCTGCCTGCTTACATCAGAGAGAAATTTTAGCTCCATCCCACAAATTATCCTGATTGTTCAGCAGCCAGATCACCCCTGAGACCCAGCTGCTTCTCCCTGAGGAAGATGGGAACAGCTCGAGGTCTGCCAGGCAGTGAAGCCCAGCCAGGTGCAAGGCAGGAGCTCCCAGTTCTGCTTCAGCTCCTGCTCTGACCTCACAGCTCTCTGCACTGGTGAGGCCTTATTTAAAAACTTGGCCTCAAATATGTATACAGAGCAGAAAATGGGCAATTTTAGGGATTGAAGTGCCAGGCTAAGCCCTTAAAGGCATGTACCTGGCTAGCCAAGTCTGAAAACTGTACTTTTCCTCTTGAGCGCAGGGAACTTTTTCCTTGTGTGGTCAGTCACTCCTGCAGGGAGCTCGGCTGTTCCCTGCCAGCAAAATGGGGGTGCAGGTCCCCCCAAATAGGGACAGACCCAGTGGGTCAGGCAGCAGGACCTGCCAGGCTGGAATGTGGCCGAGGCACAGCTTAATGTGCAACTCCGCCCACACTTGTGATGCACCAACTCTCAGTAACAGGATTTAAACAGCAAAAGGACCCAGTTCAAAGCATGAAATACCCAGCACATCCCCACAGCTGACCAGCACCAGAACAGAGCTCTTTGCTTCAGGCACAGCTGGCTCCAAGTCCAGCAGGCTGGAACAGGACCACAGCTCATCCTCAGCTGTTGCTGGGCCAGGAGCTCTGCAGGCTCAAGCTGGAAGGGTTGATGTGCCACACAGTGGAGGATTAGAAGGTTCAGAAATTATTTTCTTTGCAGTCCCTGCTGCCAGGAGGTGCCTTTATCTAGATTTCTGAGCCAGCCCACGGGTTATGCAACAGCACTCTGAAAAACTCAAGAGTGTGCTGTCTTCAAAATATTGCTTTTCCCCATATGAGGATCATCCTCTTCCTTCCAAATCCTCCCTAAACCCTCCATCAACTCGACCAAAGTGGGGTCAAAACACCCCAACCTCCCCCCCTCTGCTCCCCTCAGCTTTTTTTTCTGACTTCTCTGGCTTCCTCCACAGCAGGCCCCTCCTGTCAGAGCTTGGCTCACCCCAAGGCAGCTGGAAAAATACCAAGATGTCCTGGAGAAACTGCTGGCAGAGCTGTTACAGGACACCCCAGACGGTACTGTCAGAGGGTTGATTTCTGCCTTGGGAATTCTGCCTTTCCTTCTTCTCACCAGCTCATCAGCACGGAGATATTTATATTCCCCAGAAGGGTTTTTGTGTCATGTTTGCTCGCTTTGTGGAGCCCTCAGTTGCCAACCACTCCCGTGTGCACCCTTCTGGGAAGGTTATTCCCTCGTAAGGTGCTGCCTGTGCCCAGAGCTGATATTGACTGGCAGCAGCAGCACAACCCTTCTTAGCAGCTCTGTTTGCCACTTCCCTGTTCCTCCTCTTCCCAAAAAGTCCTCAGTCTCCAGGGAACAATTTCCAGCAGAGCTCATAACAGCAGCTGTACCTGCGAGGCAGCTCAGCACGTGAAGCCAGCTTGGAACACCTCGCTGCCTGCACGGGGGCTTAACACTGACACTTAATTACACTCCAATTTGCTGCAAATCCTCTTTACCTTTGGGAAATCGTGTGTGGGAATTGCAGCAGCAAATATCCAGGGGCAGGCTGTTGTGCAGCTCTTCCCGCCTGCAGGTTGAGGGATGGTGGGATGGGGCTGTGCCTTTGCGTTTTCTGGGATGTTTAAGCCCAGGAAAGGGGGTCCCAGTCTTCCTGTGGGATTGTTCTGCCTGTGCTGATCCCAGTTTGCCTCTGAGCTTTCAGTTAGGGAGCTGAGGAGGAGGAAACAACACATAAAGCTCTGGAAAGACTGAATGCCAGATTTAAGGACACTTGTGCTTTTCTTTCTTTTCTATTTAGCTGACTGATATCTGCAGGATCAGAAGAGAAAGCGTTGGAGCTGCTCAAGCTGAAAGACTCCACTTATGTAAACGAAATCTGTGAGAGAGATTAACAAAATCTGAGGTGAGATAATAAATGTGCAGCGTAATTAAAAGGAGGATTTGTGTCTTCTGTCCTGCCAACCTCTCAAACAGATGGGGAGTGCCCAGTGTGGGAAAGGAGAGGGAAGGCTCCAGGTTCTGGAGAACATCCCTGTTTTCCTGAGCACTGCTCTGGGGAGTCCTGTGAGGAGCTGGGGGAGCTGAGAAGGGGGCTCAGCCTGGACAAAAGGAGGCTCCAGGGGGGTTTTCTAGCTCTGCACAACTCCCTGACAGGAGAGGACAGTAAGGGGGTGGGGGTATGGGACCTTATCCCATTGAACAGAGCCAGGAGGAGAGGGAACTGTACCAGGAGAGGCTCAGGGTGGGCATCAGCAGGAATTTCTCCATGGAAAGGGTGATCAGGCCTTGGAAGTCCCCAGGGAGGTTTGGAGTGCCCATCCCTGGAGGTGTTCAAGGAAAGCCTGGATGTGGCACTCAGTGCTCTAGGCTGGGGACAAGGTGGGCATCCTGGAGTCGATGATCCTCAAGGGCTTTTCCAACCTCAAGGATTCTGGGATTCTATAAAAGTGTGTGGCAAAGCCTGAGGAATCAGACTTTGAGGAGTATGAAGTCATAGCCCTTCCTTATGGCAATGAGGGAAACAGAGGCAAACCTTTAAACCTTCGCCAGATCTCCTGGCTGAACTGGTGACATGAGGGGGTCTCTGGGTATCCCTGACCCAGCTACCTGCTCCAGGAGGGTGCTCTGGCCCATTCCCACACCGCTGGAGAGCACAGATGCCCTGATGGGCAGCCCCTCCCTGTGCCCAAACCCCTCCTATCAGCCTGGTGCTATAAATCCACCAGCACAGTGAGGAGCAGCTGTGCCAGGCACAGTGTGAGGGAACGGCACTCTGCCCTTTCTCCTGCCTCTCCAACACACCCCGAGGTGAAGTCCTAATTCCACTTGAACATCCTGCTCTCCATTTCCATACCTTTGGCTTATCTGAGAGCTACTCCTCTCTGCTGGCAGCAGGAAATCCAACATATGTAAAGTATGGATGGATGAGATCAATGGTATGTACGTGAATATATCCAATTCCAATCCAATTTTATCCTCCCAACCTAACAGGAGTTCTGTTCTCACTGAGCTCATTCCAAGAGCTCTGTTTGTGCTGGAACAACACCCCTTGGAGCACTCTGCCGTAAGCAGCTCTCGGGAGAGGAGAAAGCTCCCAGTGGATAATGGAACAGGCAGCGTGCAGTGGATTACAGCTCTAATGTTTGATCCAAAGGCACACTCCTTGTCCAGGGACTGATCAGCTCCAGGAAGCTCCCAGGATTGCTGAGGCAGTGTGAGCTGTGGAAGCTCTGTAATGACTCTGAGTGGGAGGGAGATGGGAAATAACACATTCCATTAGGCTGGGAGTGAGAGCAGTCTGGGCTGCAGGAGCTCCATCTGCAGAGGGGTGATATCCATGGAAGAGTTGGCATGGGAATCACAGGAGGAGCTGTGCCACATTTACACCAGTGTGCAGCAAGGTCAGAGTCTTGTTCGCTTCAGAGGACACCTCTTGCCTTGTTACTTCAGAGACACCCAAACCTTTACTCCAGCTTTGATCTTGCCACATGAAAACAAGAATTCCACCTCAAGGGGCAAACTGCTCCCAAACCCTCTCCATCAGCTCCACTGCGGATCAGGGCTGTGCCTCCGGTGCGCCCTTTGCCCAGCTCCTTCAATCCCATTATTTTCCAGACTAAAATCTTCCCTGTGCGATCCAGAAAGGAAGGTTTTCCAGTGATGGAAAGAAAGAAAGTGAACATGAGCCTCTTGGATTTGCTTCCTGGACCATTTCCCACCAGGGTGATGCTGTGGAAAATTCCAGAGGGAGATCCACTAGTAGGACTCTGCTCTTATTCTTGGACCCAGGCAAGCTGCATCAGCAAGGGCCAGCTTTGACCCCCACCATGGATTCTGCCAGCAGGTCTTCCCAGTTGTCCCAGTTATAAATGAGCTCGGGATGTAATGGCTGGTTGTGACAGAGACCACAGGAACCCCTGCCCCATCCTGTAGCACCAAATGTGTCCAAACAGGCACCAAAGTACACCTTCAACTTCTGGGAGTAAATTCCTTCCACCCCCAGGAGCCTGGGCAGAAGAAGCAGAAATATTTCCACTGTAAAGAGGGACCTCAACCAGCCCCTTCCAGGCTGTCTGGGCCCTGGGTAAAGAATCAGTCTCCAGGTTTCAGGACAAATCTGTTTTCCCCCTGCCCTAGAGGGTGCTCTGGTAGACAGCAGCACCTAGGTCACACCAGCAGGCAGGCAGGAAGAATCTGCTGCTCCAGAAACCAAACAAGAATTCCATGGTGGGATGAGCAGCCCAAGAGGTGGGGGAAAGAGGCAGGGAAAAAGGAGAGAAAGGAATGGAGTCACCTCTGACATCCTAAGGTCAGGACAGGCAGGAGGGCTCTTGGGTCACACCTGTGCCATGGCTGTGAGTGACAGGGTGACAAATGGGCACAGTCAGCTCCCAAGAAAGCCCTGACACTTCTCCGGTGCCATGTGCACGGCTGTCACCCAAAAGCCATGGATAAGGAGGTGGGTGGGGATGTGGGATTTCAGCAGCCCATCAGTCAGAGGTGCAAGGGTTCAGCTGTGGCGTTTGGGGTGCAGCCATTCCCTGCTCTGGCATGGATCCATTCCCAGGGCTCTGCTCACACCAGCCCTGTCCCCAGACTGCCAGAACCGGAGCAGCCGGCGTGGCGCGTCTGCTCCTCTGGCATGGGAGCCGCTGCCAGCAGCTCTGAGGCAGCTTCTGGGCTCGCAGGGAAAGTGGAGGCTGTCCCTCCATGCTGTCCCAGCTTCCCACAGCCAGCTCCGGCTGTTACCAGCCAAGAAACATTTTTTCCCGAGCCCATCTGTAGCCTCGGCACCGCTTGGTGCTCCCAGAGCCATGAGGATGATGAAGGGGTTGCAAAAATAGAAAATCCACTGTCAAATTCAGCATTGGCACTGTGGGCAAGGGATGGGAACAAAGTTTGCCCATGGGGATACAGGGTCTGACACGTCTATGCCTGCTGCTTTCCCTGTGGGGTTCAAATGGGATTCTCCTATGGGCAGGAAGGGAAAGGGGTTGAGGATTTCTCTCCAGAAAGAATAGGCCCCTGATGCTGCTGAGCTTTGGTGCTGCCAGCCTCCTTCTGAAGAGGAATCACAGCTTTTCCCCCATCCTCCACTTGTCTAACACCAATCCCATGTCCTCCCCTCCAAAGACTGTGCAATGAGGCTGCTGGGCCTGGGGTAATTTCCCTGATGGACAGAATCACAAGTTGGAAGGATGGGTTTGGGCTTTTGTTGCTGTTTTCTCCAGAACAAGGTGAGTTCATGCAATTCCTGAGTTTGCACCAGCTCAGCCAGCATGCATCTGCATGTCCAGGCAGAGCTTCTGCAAAGTGGGAGCTGTGAGCTCACAGGATCTGTGTGATAGAAGCAAATTGGAATTTTTTATTTACATTAGACCCCTCCCCACATCATGAGCTGGAAGTGGAGCACAGAGGAGGCTCAGCTTAGCACGTTCACACTTCCAGCACAGCTGAGTTTGCTCTTTTAATGGGTTCCTTGGCCTCTGCTGAGGATGTATTTGCTGTTGCCAACCTGACGAAAAAATCTCAGCATCTTGTTGCTGCATTCTTGGATAAATTGCAAAAAGTGAGGTGAGCTTTGGGGATCTGCTAAGGAAGAGGGCTCCTAAAAGAAGGATTAGTGACAGGACAAGAGGATATGACCTCAAGCTATATCAGGGGAGGGTCAGGTTGGACATCAGGAGGAGTTTCTCCATGGAAAGGGTTGTTAACATTGCAAGGGGCTACTCAGGGAGGTTTGGAGTCCCCATCCCTGAGGTGGTCAAAGAAGACTGGATCTGGCACTCAGGTGGGGGTCAGTCACAGGTTGGACTCCATGGTGTTGGAGGGATTTTCCAGCCTCACTGACTCTGGGATTCTGTGATTTATGTTGGGAAGGCACAGCTCAGCTCTTTCAGCCTTGTGCTCCTCCAGACTCTCCCTCTCCCCACAGGTGCCATTCCCAAGGGAATGTCCCCCTCCCCAGTGTCACACATCCATCACCAAACCCATGGCATGCAGCCAGCCTTCAGCACCTTCAGCATTGCTGTTCCATTACCTTTAATTAAATTCCAACATTACACCACCGTATTTCAGCCGCTTTCATCGCTTTCTTTAGCGGCGGCGGCAGGAAAAAGCAATTACTGTTCATCACAGCTGTGCCAAAATAAATTTACAAGTCAACGCTTGGGTTTGCTGTTTCAGGTGTGGGGTGTGGAGGGACCCCCCCCTTCCTAGGAAATATTTCATGGAACTGTATCCTGGTCCTGCTTGAGGTTCTGTCAGAGCTCAGCAACCGGGCAGCAATTATGGAAACGCGTGTGGGGATGGAAGGGGGCTGGGAAAGGGACGTTTTTTGGGAGAATGACCCTAAAAGTGTTAGAACATCGGGGTGAGGCGGGAGCCGCTCCAGGAGCAGCCCCACACAGCGATGGGGACAACCCATCACCGACACCGGCTCGTCCCGCAGATGAGGCAGCTTTCGCCTTTTGCCTTCCTCATTTCTCCCCCTTTTCCCCGGTCCTGAGGCAGCAGCGAGGAGCGTGAGTCGCTGCTCCCTCAGGACACGGCAGGACTGGGAGCCCGCGCCTCCCTTGACCTTCTCAACATGGCGCCCGCCCCCGCGCCCTTTCCCCGCACGCCCCGTGCCCTTCCCAACATGGCGGCGCCAGGGGAGCCAGGGGCCCCTCCCAAGATGGCGGCGTCGCTTCCCGCCCGCGGGGCGCTTCCGGCGGGGCCTGGCGCGGTCATGGCGGAGCTGACGGACGCGGAGCTCCGCAAGGAGCTGCTGGCGCTCGGCTACCGCCCGGGGCCCATCACCGCCACCACCCGCAAGGTC